CTCGGCGATTACATCATTCCATCCACTATGGAAAACAAACCTTTAGTGCCGAACTTTTTCACAGAAATCAAGGGACCGGATGGGTCGGCAGCCGTGATGCAAAGACAAGCGCGCTATAACGGGGCGATTGGAGCCCGCGGCATACACAGTTTGTACAACTACGGCAATAACGAGCCTGTTTACGATGGGAAACCCTATACATTTAGCTCGACCTACTACGGCGGGACCGGGACTTTTTAGCTATACACGCACCACATGACCGAGCCTGTTACATCCGGAGGACGCCCGGAGTACCACATGGCTTAAGCAGGGTTTTATGCGATAACGCATAGTCGTAAAACCTTCGTCCAAGGCGCTACCGCGTTTAGGAACGCCCGCGATATGGCGAAGCAGTACCGGGATAGCTTTATTCGAGCAGCAAACGAAAGAGCACGGCAACCTAGTGAGAGAAACTTAGCAGTAGCAGGCACAACGGTGATATAGCAGGATGAAGGCTCGAGTCCTAATACATTTGTGGATTGTGACGAGTTCCCTTTAACATTCGACGTCCATGAGGAAGCGTTTGGTCCGTATCCGCAATAGAGCTTTGTTGGTATTGACGACCACATTCCGCGCCAAGCCATTTACAAAGAACCGCGTTTTCCCCAATATTTTGTCGATAATGACGACTATTAGCAAGACGACAGCTAGTTACCCGTGCCGTTCGACACTTTCCAAGACCCAGAGGCAAGCGTCGAAACGAGCTTTACGTTAAGCTTCGCTTCGAGCTTCCCGTTATCGAGCCACCTCCCCGCCCGTGGTTACGGATCCCATTTTAAGCGCCTTAGGAATTTACGAAGTCCACCATCAAAACCCCACATTGCAGAAGATCATTACAAGGCTGGACCTGCACGCCGCAAAAAGAAACCCAAAAACAAGTCACCCAATTCAGGAGGAGCAGAAGGGAACGATGCTGGTTGTAAATGGAATGATGGCATGGAGCGGTGGGAGTATTGGGACGAAACGCAACAAGCCATGCTGTATTGGAATGGCGAGAAATGGCGTCGGGTAGAAGAGGAATAGCTCGAGCTGGACGGAGCCGAAAACTTGCCTCCTAGAGGTTCTTTCTCACGTTGCCTTCCTCCATCCC